GTTGACGCATGACGTTCTCGAGAGCGGCGCTGAAGAGTTTGGGCGAGATGGTGTCGCCCTGTCGGAACCCCTCTCTTGACGTCGATGATGACCTCCTTGTAGAATGGTGAGATTCTGGTCGTAAAGTTGCTGTAGAGCTCACGAAGAATCTTGATGTACTGAGTAGGGACGCCCTGGTTGCCCAAGGCTTCGATGACCGCTTCTGTCTCCACAGAGTCGAAGGCCTTCTTCAAGTCGATGAACGTGAGACAAAGCGGCATCTTGTACTCTCGTGAAACTTCAATGAGTCTTGTAACCGTGTGGATATGGTCGATCGTGCTGAACCCTCTTCGAAACCCTGCTTGCTCGCATGGCTGTCCTTCATCTAGTATTCTGCCGATCCTGTTAAGGATGACTCGAGTGAATAGCTTGTAGATTACAGACAGCAGGCAGATTGGGCGATAGTTGCCAATGTCGTCCAGGTCTCCCTTCTTGTACAGCAACACGGTCCTGCTGGTTTTCCACGGAGTGGGTACCTTGCATTCCGACAGGTAGCGCGTGAAGAGTCGAGCCAGAGTTTTGATGATGACTGGCGGCGCATTCTTCAGATGTTCCGGTTTGACCCTGTCGAGACCGGGTGCTGTACGATTCTTCACCGACTTGATGGCGTGTCGGACTTCGGAAGAGAGAACTGAGGGGACGACGTATCCATCCTGTTGCAGTTGATAAGTGGGCAGATGGACATGGCTATCGAAGAGATCCGAGTAGAAGTCGTGGATGACTTTCTCCATTGCCCTTCGGGATGCAGTAACTGTTCCATCCGGACGTCGGAGGCAGGTCATCTTGGTCTTGTAGCTGGCAAAGCTTCGGCGGGCATTGCGGATGCTCCTCCCAGCCTCTGCTGCTTCAGCTAATACTGCTGCTCTTCGCTCCTTGAGATCTTCCTTTATCGCCTCTCTGCATAGCTTCGCAAGCTCGGACGTGAGTCGGTGATTGCCTGCAGCTCGTGCGGCTCCACGCTGGCGTATCAGTTCGAGAGTTTCCGGAGACAGACGTCCCTTGGTGACTTTCAAACTCTCTGCCTTCTTGCCACAATCGTGAAGATGTTCAACGAGCCGATAGTACTCCTCGTCGATGTTTTCGATGACGGAATCCTCCCATAAGCTGACGAGGGAAGCGAAGTGATCCCAGTTGATGACTGTCCTGGGGCTTCGCTTCCTGAACTTCGAGGCTCTCTCAACACGCATCGAAAAGTGGAACTTTGCGCGGAGGAGACGATGTCGATCCCTTAGCAACTTCGGACCAACAGCGATCGTCCCGGTCAGGCAACGAACACCTCGTAGTTGGATAAGATGACGTGTCTCACTCTCGTTATGGAACTGTCCATCAGGTGACTCCCAAGTCCAACGAAGGTGAGGGGGCTTTTGGAACTGTGAGTTACCATGGATGGTGTTGGTCGACATGATAAACTCCGACAGTCTCTCACCCTGCTCATTCCATTCCATTCCGTGAGTACCGATGTGAAGTTCTTCAGCCGTTCTTCTTGGGCCAATCTTAGCGTTGAAGTCGCCGACGATGACCTTGAAGAAGGTATGATCTTCCCTGTAGAACTTCTCCAATTCCATATAGAATGCTTCGTGTTCTTCTTCGTCGTAGCTGGATGTTGGTGCGTAGGCGACGAAGATTGTCAAAGCAGGAGTTGAACCACATCTTCTCAATCTCAAACGTCCGATTCGGGTCGTAAGGCTTTCGTACGAATCGATGTTTATGGCCAAGTGCGTGTTGACGAGGACACCCACACCGCCAACGCCTCTGCTGTCGCATGTTCCAAGGAACAGTTCTTCTCCAGTATCGAAAACGGCGTGTAGCGGGCGGGGCGGCGTGTAGCGGGCGGTGCCTTCTCGTCTCGGTCAGTCCGATGACGTCGTACTTGATCTTCCTGGCCTGCATCATCAGATCTTCGATGTGAGCTTCGGATGCAAGCGTTCGTGCGTTGAAAGTACAGATCGCCATCTTAGTCCTTCTTCGTTTAGGCAGCCTATCCGGGCCCTGAGATTCTAGCAGCCTCTCCCGAGCGGTCCTACCCAACGCTGCCGTATTGGGGGCTCCCTCAGGTTCAGGGGAATGAGGCCCACCCATATGAGGCCCATCCATATTGCTGTTTTCGGCATATTGAAGGCACACGAGTAGCTTGCCAGGCTCTGTCGTGCGGGCTAGGATAGACCTCCAGGTAGTTAGCCACGCTATCCTGGAGCGGAACAAGGGGCTTATTTTTGGAGGCGGCCCCGAATCGCCTCCCATGTACTTCCCAGTCACTTGAATGCAAGCTTTTGGCTGTGCCGACATGCAGGATACCAACCGCACACACACAGAGCGCACCACACACGCAAGCATGCATGGATGCGCCTGAGTGGAGACAGCTGGTATGAATCAACACAGCACTACAGAAACAGGGAGTCCATCCCCTGAATCCACCTGCGTCTCAGGGCAAGTACATGGGTGGCTTTTGGTCCGCGATTTACCCCCTATCCGCCACCTGGGGTCGCGCCACGTAGCCTCGCCACCAACCGGCTCGAGATCTTTCAGTGAGAGAGGACCCTCAGTGAAAAGAGATAGCGCGTTGCAAATGACAAACCAGAATTTCTACTTCGGTTCTTCTTTTGAAAGCCCATCTTATTGATTGAAAACCAGTCGCTCGCCAGCTAGAAGTCTTTGAACGCCTTTTCTTTCCGGAGTCTGTAAAAGTTTAGAACGCATTTCCTTCGCTTGTAAGACCTCTAGATGGCAATCACAGATGTGGCATTTCGAAAATCACCAGACAAGAGCTTTGGTACCTTGCAAAAAAGCTGTTGCAGCTGCCATTTTTTCTCGTATCAGACTGCCGTCAAGCGCCGTCCCATCTGCTGCGCACAATGTGGGTGATATTTGATCCGAGCGTCTTTCGATTGTTTTTTCCATTTTTCTTCACTGCCGGTAAATTTCCAGCAATAATCGTGGATGTGCGATACTAAAGGAAACCCCAGGATTCCAGAATATGTGCAAGAAATTGTGCTTGTATCATGCCCTCAATATCAACTTTGTCAGTGTCACACTCTTAACTTTGGTTTTTGATATGAATGTCTAGGAAAATAGAACAAAACAAAAAAGGCTTAGAAAATTTGCGAGGCTCAGAAAATTTCAGTTCAATTAAAGCATTTTGGACCACGCAGGCGGCCAAATGCCTTATGATTATTATACGTCTACAGAACGAATGACCGAAAATTTGAAAGAAAGAGCGGAGGCACGGAAAAAGGATAACAGATTTGCGCAGGCGCGTCAGAAGTTCCAATGCGGCCTTCGAAATCTGACGAGCATGTGCGTCAGGCCGACGATAACGTTTCAACAAAGAAACATGCAGCGGAACTATCATTGCGAGGAATAAGTTGCGCGAAATTTTTCTAAAACGGAAGAGTCGAAATTTTTACGCTTTTCAATTGCAATTATGTGATAGTACGCAAAGTAGCATTCATTCAATCACTATCTAGAAGCATCTCCAAATGTGTGTTTGCGTGGTTTGTATGTGGAATTAAAATTATTAGGAGCAGTGTAGCAGTCTCTCGAGTTCAAAATTATTGTTTCACTCCAAGGATTCTTTCGATCGCTTTCCTGCTCAACTACTAACAGACTGGTAGTTAGGAAACCACTGTTCTAAGATGCCTGCCTGATCCGCCATAAAACCATCACTGTCATTGCGGTTCACATCTAGATCTTCTATTTTTTTTGGAAACGTGGAGTACCCTCAAGTGCGCGCATCTATTCACCAATTCCTCCTGCAGAGCTTATCTTTATCAAGAGTTTATTTTTGAAACATTCTTCAGTAAACCTTTTTTTGGAGCTGAAAGGTAATGACCAATTAATGCTGAGCACGAACTAGACGCGGTCGGTCAGGTAAGTATAGATTGTGCGTAGAAGAAGCGGTACATTACCTTAAATTGAAATATCTTAGCATTTACTTTTCTCATGCAAGAGATGTGTCCCAGCTAATCGATTTCATTGTACAATTCTGATGATTTTCAAGTATCATGAATCATCCATACGGCGAAAAGTGTTTCAGTACCCCTTCAAAGTTTTTGAGAACGGAGATTTTTTCTTCTTCGATTGACAGTTTTACATCTTGCTCTGTAATACGGACCAATTGAGTTAATAGTTTGAGCCTCTGGAGATTAGGATATGTATGTCCAAGTTCGACTTGGTATAAATCTTGGCAGAATGTGAGAGCGTAGTTGCTAGCTTCCAACCAAGATTGACAATAACTTTATTTGGCCGACGTTTCGGTGCTTTCACCTTCTTCAGAGCCTGGAAAAGTCGAAAGCCATTTAGGAAACTACCCGTCCAAACACTATTTCAACCTACAAGAATCATTCAACAGGGTGTAAACTACTAAAACGATGTCATGGAGGGAGATGAGAACGAACCTTTAGAGATGCTGACCAGAGAGGTCCACCTGCCACCCCGAGCTGGTAGTAACGCGGCTTAAATAGGTAAAGCCTTCAGGTCATTTGCTTTAGGGACCTCCGGAGGGTTGATCATGTAGATCAAATCACTCCAAAGGGCCCCTCGAGGCTAGGCGCGCCGCTGAACCCCTCTTCCTCACTTATTGATTACTGCGCAGTAGCCCTCGACACGCCAGGAAGACCCCATTTGAGATTGATCATGGAAGGTCAAAAGCCACACAAGGCCGCAAGGGTGCCAGCTCTGTAGTGACCGCAACACACTCTTCCCTCCTATTGATCTAGGAGGTCTTGGCGTTGATCCAGAAAGCCTCCAAGGTTCGCCGCGCCGCACTATCGAATTCACGACAATGTTGTGACCGCCACTTCAAGAAAGGTATCAACATCGAACTGTATGCTCTCCCAGAAAAGCAGCAACCTGGATCTTCTTGAGCTCCATTTAGGTGCTCCTCTATCCTCACGCAGAGAGGCCTGTCTATCTCTCCGATGTAGTCCTGTTTGCACAGAAGGCACGAACCACTAATCGGTGTTTCAAGGGACATTCCGGTGTGGGACAGCCGTTTTCCTGTGCTCTGGCACCTTTTCGAGCGATTCAGCCTTTTCGTCGCTTCCTGATGAAACTGTTGTGGCGGTGCGCATCATATTTCTAATGATGGCCTTCTTCGTATTAGAGGGGTGTACAGAACTGAAATGGATCAGTATGTTCTTACTAGCCGGCTTTTGATACCATTTCGTCTTGAAAGTACCCGCAGTGATCTGAACCTGAACATTGAGAAAAGCGAGCCAACTGTCTGTCGGTTTTTTCTGTGATCGCTTTTTATGTTCCGGTAGACTATTAGGCAGTTTGGAACAGGTGAAAAAATGGACGAAGATCTTCACTGTCCTGTCGGCATATAGACGACTGCTTAATTGTGTGTTCCACCCAAGTGGAGATGGTTAAAGGAACACCTGGATGGCGTGAGAAGATCCTATGTTGCTAATCCACAGAGAGAGCATAGA